ACTCATTCTTTGGCAGGCTGAAAAACATAAATTACCTCTTCAAGGGAGCCTTGAAGCCTTTGGTGAATTCATTGACTAGTCAAATCTCCTTAAGTTGTGCACTTGTAAAAAGGCACACCTATTCTTCATTAGACTTATATCAAACGCATTTATTTTATTATTATGTAATTAATATCTAGACTATATTGTTCTGTTAGGGTGAGAATGTTGCTGGCCTGCTTCTGCACATTGTTTCAATGCTGTTTAGCAGAGTACCAGGAACATAGAAAGTGCTCAATAATAATAAATACATATTTTGAATTAATGAATGGCAAGTTGTTGATGGGATGCTATAGTCTGCTATTATGAATAGTGTTGTTTACAGTGATCAATGTTGGCACAATAGGATGAAGGCAGTGAGTAAGCTGGTTAGTTAACATTGTATTAGTTGGTTAATAATTACAACCGATACATTGAGTGTATAGTGTCTCCTTAGTGATATTAATTGGATATGTTTTCTGATACAAGTGAAAGAAATACCTACTAGTAAGGACACAAACAAATACGTGCTGTCATTTCACATAGCATGGTCTCTTGACTTCACCATCTCTGGCATTGATTCATTTGCTAAATGATGCCATCAAAGATGTATGCAATTTCTTTCTGTTCCACCATACTTAGTGTATTTATCCTTTTTTTTTCTGCATGCTACTGTATCTTTAGTCATTGCATCCCATTTCAAGGAAAAAAGGATGAGGAAAGGTGAATTTGGCTTTTGCATCATCAATACTTTCCCTGAGTCCTCTACACTTCTTGCTAACTTACTCTTAGATGGTATTAGACACACTGGGTCTCAAGGTCAAGCATAATATGCCAGATAACCTGGAAAATTGATGGTCTATCAAAGAATAGGCTTGTCATAGTTGCCTAATCTATGACCAATCATCATTCATTTCTTGGGGTTGGACATCTTCAAACAACTTCCTACCTAATTTCTCTTATAATCAAATACAAATGTAGCAATTAATGCTTTTATCTTCAATGAATAACTATTGGATAAGCAAATAATAGCCATCAGCTACTTTTGCTCAAGTACTGCGTGGGGCTAAATTTCATAACTTTCACCTGGTTGAGTCTTGGTAAAGGCACACAAATATTTAAGTTAAAAGTGGTCCTAGAAGGAAAGATAAATTTTTAACCTGAATTTGTGAGTATAAAAATAAGGATATGATTTAGATTACCCTTGTTAATTAATTATTTCATAAGAATGAGGTATGTGGCTCAGTGCCCGTGGCTCAAGCTGCTAAGGCACCAGCCACATACACCTGAGTTGGTGGGTTCGAATCCAGCCCGGGCACACCAAACAATAATGACTGCTGCAACCAAAAAACAGCAGGGCATTGTGGCGGGCATCTGTAGTCCCAGCTACTTGGGAGGTGGAGGCAGGAGAATCGCTGAACCCAGGAGTTGGAGGTTGCTGTGAGCTGTGATGCCACAGCACTCTACCCAGGGCAACAACTTGAGGCTCTGTCTCAAAAAAAAAAAAAAAAAGAAAGAAAAAGAAAAAGAAAAGAAAAGAAAAGAAAAGAAAAAAGAATGAGGTATGTGTTTATCATTACTTCAATATGTTACCTTAATGACCATCAAGTAATACTGTTGTATACGTATATTATAAATAGTAGTCAAAAATTGCTGGTAATTTATTTTATGATTTTTCCCTCCCCAAATAAGACATAACATATATTACATGTAAAATAGGACAGAGAATGTAGAAAAAGGTCAGTGAAATTTAAACACTACTTCTGACCTTACTTCAGTGCTCTTGAGGCTTGGTAGCTTAAAACCTTAGTAAACAGAGAGTGCCAAAAATGTATACACATTTTAAGAAAGGAAAAAACCTGTATTAAAATTGTAATACTCAATATATATGAATAACATTTGTTATCGTGCTTATTATACCTTGTCTCTTGTAATTGCAGAAGTCAAATGTGACTTAAGTATTACAACTATAATAGTGTTTTCCTTTCTTATAATGCATATACATTTATTTGGCACCCTCCATATGTAGGTAGGAATGATGGCTGTTCAACCATGTTAAATGATCAATATCATTTATATAAATATATTTTAATGCATAAGATTATACAAATAATATAGCATATATTAAAATACATTGTGTATATATTGAGAAAAATACTTAAGAACATATATAAATGTTAATATGTATTTATAATGTATAAGAATATTTTGACCTCTTCAATTGATTTTATTCATAAGCTAACTTAGACACCTATAGGTTAGGCATCTATATAGTGTAATTTATGAGATTCTCATAGGTCGCACTTTTTCTACTCTAGTGTAGTGTTTATCCTGTGGCAGGCAGTATAATGTAGTGATTATGGAAAACAAATTCTGGAACCATGCCAGCTAGAAATAGATTCTGGCTTGCTACTAACTAGTATTGTGACCCAATGCAATACATTTAACCTCTTTCTTTGTGTCTCAGTTTCCTCATCTGCAATATAGGCGTAACAGCATGTAAAATGGGTTTTTGGAAGATTAAAAGATTTATTTTTTCGTAGAGCACTTAAATAAATGCCTGGCACATGGCAAGCACCATGGATCTGTTAAATGTAATTAAACTAAAAATCATTAAATACGTAGTAGCTCCTATTTACTCATACAGTCAATTATTGAGATCTTACAGTTAAGTGTTTTTCACATTACTAACCTGCAAATTAGGGTCAAATCTCAAGTGAAAAAGATGGCTTTCATAGGGTGCTAGCCTTTATTTATTTATGAGACAGAGCCTCAAGCTATCCCTCTGGGTGGAATGCCGAGGTATCACACCTCACAGCAACCTCCAACTCCTGGGCTCAAGTGAGACTCAGCCTCCCAAGTAGCTGGGACCACAGGCACCTGCCACAACACCCAGCTAATAGGTTGCAGCTGTCATTGTTTTGGTGGGCCTGGGCTGGATTCGCACCCACCACCTTAGGTGTATGTGGCTGGGGCCTTAGCCATTTGAGCCACAGGCGCCCAGCTGGGTGCTAGCCTTTGTAAGAGGTATTATATATCTCCCATTTATGTTGATTGCATTTAGAATATATTTATAATTGGATTGTCATGAGCAATAGTTTCATCAACTGATAGTTTCCATCTGTGGCATCTTATTAAATAAAAATTGAAAGGCTATGATTAACTGTCTTCCATGTCCTCCTGATGAAATGGCCATTTAAGTGGATCTCTTTCAGGTCACAGGAATCACATTTAGTGATCTATTATTAATAATTATCTTACTTTTTCCAGGATGGGAAGCTAGAATCTGAGAAGACCCTGGTTCTATGGTCATTTAAGTTTATCTTTGTGGTTGAAAAAATTTCATAAGGGAATAGAGAGTTTAAAGGAAGAAAGAAGATCTGGGAATATTAGCCCAACCATTAGGCAAAGGCATATTAAATGCCATCCAGGTGTCCTCAAACTACAGCCCGGGGCCACATGCAGCCTGCCTAGGATATTTATCCCGCCCACCGGGTGTTTTTGCTGCAGCTGCCTGTCCTGCTTAGCAGCCCTCTTCCCAGGCCCCACAGTCCGGCCCTCCAACGTTCTGAGGGACAGTGAACTGGCCCCCTGTTTAAAAAGTTTGAGGACCCCTGCCCAGGATCTCCTTAAAGAGAAATCAATGACAATTTAACTCAAAATTGTTTTGACACACACACGCCAGTAAGAACACAATTGTAAGAACATAGACTTACTAGACGGGGAGATGAGAACCTAATCTAGGACAATCTTTCTTAAAAGTACTCTTTTTTTCTAGCTGTTTCCCAGAATTTCCACTACCTCCTTTACCCCAAAATAATTTCTCTATTTCTTCTCCTGGGATCTTGCCTCTGCTATTCTTGTCAAGGCTATGAATACTGTTCAAAAAAGCATAGCTGATCTGTGCTATACCTGCTCTGAGGACTTTAAGAAGGAAGACTATTATTATTAGGTGATATTTGGAATATTTAATTTTTGGTACAGCACGGGTACTGACTAATTAGGAGGATAGAGGCCAGGTGGAATGGATGACTTATGATTATATGAAGGCTGAAGTCAAGCCCTATAGTCTACTCCTTTTATCTTTCAGCCTCAACAAAGGAGATCCAGACTGTGATTTTTAGATAGCCTCTATTGGAGGCTTAATGTTAGGAGAGGCCACTTGCCTGTTTTCTTGAAGAAGACACTTACAGGGCCCAAATATTCTGATATGCTCTTAATCCTCAGCCTCCCTCCATTAAGCCACCACATGCTCGCTCAGTTCTCACCCATGAGGTTCTCTAGTTCGCCTCCTTCATCTGTGCCTTGGAACTACGGGAAAGGGCAAATTCTATGTTTTTGAAAATTCTGGTCTCTTTTATTTGGGGGTTTCATTTAAAAAATTATATTCATTCTACTCCTTCATGTCAGGTTTTTGTTTTGTTTTGTTTTGTTGTTTTCGGCTGGGGCTGGGTTTGAACCCGCCACTTCCTGTATATGGGGCCAGCGCCCTATTCCTTTGAGCCACAGGCGCCGCCCCTCTTCATGTGAGTTTTATAAAATTCGGCCTAATTCTTTCCTAACCTTTTATATTAGCCACTTTTTAAGATTTGGTACTGTATAATATGTATCTTTCCGTGTCGGTACGCATAGATGTACATTATTATCCATCACAGATAGACTGTAAGTTATTTTATCCATTTCTATTGATTGGTATTTATATTAACCCAATTATTTTGGTGTTTTAAGGCAACATTGTGAGAATTGTAATCAGAAATTTCGGATTAAGGGTCACTGTACAGAAACAGGTCCCAGAAACACCCGGATGTGACATCTGCGACCCCAGGCATTTTTCGCCAGGCCCCTGCAGCCTCCGTACTGGCCGCCAACTGTCGCCGCTGGGTGACGCCATAACCGCGGGGTTTGAAGGCTGCTCGCGCCGTCGGCGGTTGCCTAGCGGCGGATCCACCACACTGATCCGTCGGCCCCCAGACGGGTCAGACATGGAGAATGACAGGGGGTCTCTCACCCCGCGGGATGCGGAAAACCAGAAAAAAGAAGTACAGCTGCGGGTATTCCCGCCGGAAATGAAGTTTCTAGACACTGTGGCCGGTAAAGTGTACCGCCTACCCATAACTGTTCACAACCTCGGCCGGTGGAGCCAGAGGATCCGATTTCAGGAGCCTATCAAGCCCCAGGTGACGCCCGAAGGAGTGCCGGGGAAGCAGTAGCTTGGGGGAGCGCCTTCGGATCTAGGCAGCTCTCTTTCCCCTGGGAAGTAGACGGAGGGCTCCTGCGGGGAGGGGGGGAGGACTGAGAAGGGTTGGGCTTCTGAGGGACAGTGATTTTGGTTTTTTGTTCTGTTTTGTTTTCTCTTTTGCTAGGGGTTGAGAGATGAGAAGGACAGGGTAGGGAAAGGCTAATAATCTGGAACCTTCCTCTTTTTTCCATTTTAGGTTTGGAACGAAGGGAAGGGATTCCTTCGCTGTCTCCTTGTAACCACCTCGAATCTGGGCCACTTGGTTTTGTAGTTCTGTAGTTGCCCTAAGCATTGGGAAAACAATATTCTACATCAACTACCTTTTGAATCCTAAGTGCCACATTACTATAGAAACTGTAGGATCAGTGGAAAGGTTTATTATTTTTTATTTTAACAACGTGGCTGATATAGCAGGCAGTAGGTGTGAGGGATACAGAAGGGACACAAGCCTGTTCTCATAGCGTTTACAAACTAGTGTGGGAGTTTTAGTACAGGACTAACCATCATCAAAATTAATGTGCTGAGAGGCATTATTTATTATTTATTACCTTATAAGGAGTTCAGATGTATAATTTGATTCTTTTTCTCTCACCAAAGTTCAAACTTCTTGTGAGCACTCTGGATCGGGCCCTGGCGTCAGGTCTTCAAATGACAGCTATAGTAGAATATCATCCAGACAAAAACGAAAACATCAATGACCAACTATATATTACAATAGGAAATAAGACATTAGAAATTCCGATCTTTGGGTATGTATTCCTTATATTTCATGCTGACATTTTGAACACTCTTCCGATAAAAATAACAAAGTAATGTATTTTCTCTGACTTGTATTAATAGTTTTCTTAACAGCTGAATTGAAAGAGCAAACTTTCAGAAAATTGCGGAGCCTGTAACAATAAAAGCCTTGGTCTCTGGTGTGTTTTTATTAAAATAACTGAAAACATTCAACAGTTGAAGGTATTATTAATTAGAGTTTTGCAAACCAGTATGAATATTTTAATTTTTAAGTGTTGTTATGTTCACTAAATTTTAAATAAGGCAGATGCTTGGCATCAAAACAAATCAAAATGCTGCTGTTTCGAGATTGGTCAAAAAAGGTGAGTGGATGGGAAGGGAGGTGGATGATTCAATAGAGGGATGGTTAATGATGGGACCACACCAATGGAGCATATTGCAAGGGTACAAATCAAATCTATCAAGTATAGAACACAAATGTCTTAACACTGTGATTAAGTAAATGAGGTGAAGGCTATGTTAGTTAGTAATGTTTTATTTAATTGACATTATTAATTTATTTAAATTAACTTAAAACATTCAACAGTTGAAAGTATTATTTAGATTTTTTGAAAACCAGTATGAATATTTTAATTTAATTTTTAAGTATTGTTATGTTCACGTCACTAAATTTTAAATAAGGCAGATGCTTGACTTCAAAACAAATCGAAATCCTATTGTTTTGAGATTGGTCAAAAAAGGTAAGTGAATGGGAAGGGAGGGGGTGGTTCGATAGAGGGAGGGTTAATGGTGGGACCACACCAATGGAGCATATTGCAAGGGTACAAGTCAAATCTATCAAGTATAGAACACAAATGTCTTAACACTGTGATTAAGTAAGCACACCAATTTGCACAAATAATCAACACACTGAATCCCACAAAGGCATAAATGTATTCATGATCTATATATATATGACTTAATAAAAAATAATAAAAAAGGTAAGTGGATATAATAATGCAAAACTATGTGACTTCTATACAGATTATCTGACCAGAATGAATTACGATTTGATGTTTCCTTTTAATAATAAAAGCATATATTTCTGTTTTTTGTAAAATTATCTGTTACCTAGTGTTAAAATGTAAAGCATTTTTATTCATATGCATAGATGTATGATCCTCCTTTTAGAAAATATGGTTCCATAGGTGTTCTTGTCTTTCAGAGTTAATATTACAATATTTTCTGCTTATTATATTGTATTAGACATATACCTTTCTATAATTTCCCTTATTTTTTTTATCATTCATATAAAGTAAACTTAGATCTGCAATTATTTTGGTTCTCTGTGCTGTTAAGTTCTGATTTGGCATACCATCCCATTTTTCATGGAATCAAACCATTGACATATAGTTGGAAAGAAACAATCTATTAACATATTAAAAATATCTAATTTTCATTTTTTAATTTAAGTAGAGCCATTTTTGGTGCATTCTGCACTATGACATACCTGTGACTGACTCTTAGATTGGCTTGTTTGTGCTATACTTGGAGAGAAGGGTTGAAGATGCTTCTGGCCCAGAAAACAGAGAGTTTTGTCTCATTTCCACAATGTATGCCCCCTCTCATCAGAAGTCTATTTGTCACCCCAGTTCCAATATTATTGATGATGATTTTTATTACTGATTATTATTGACCCTTTTTAAGTGTGATACACAGGGTTGAGGGGAATGTTGAGGGTGGTTTTGGGGGAAGGCAAGGAGAGGAAGAGGTAAAGGAGAAAGTTTGCTGCTATATGTCAATCTTTTTAGAAATTCAGATGATTGAAGATTCACATGCAGCTACAAGAAATAGATTCTTTTTACATTTTTCCCTGTTTTCCATAAGGGTAACATTTTCAAAAGGATAATACCATAACTAGGAAATTGACATTGATACAGTCCTCCTATCTTATTAATATTGCCACAGCTTTATTGGAACTGTGTGTGTTGGGGGAATAGGGTGTCTGTCTATGTAAATGTGTCTGTTATTAATTTTTGTGCAATTTTATCAGCCATGTAGATTCTTGTATTGGAACTAGATGCAGAACAGTTCCAATGCCATGAGTATCCCTGCTGTTGCTTTGCTAAAACCACACCTGCACTCACTCCCTTCTGCCTCATACTCATGATCCCCGAAAGCTGCTAATTGTCTTTTTCTAAAATTGTGTCATCATAAATATGTTATATAAATTAAGTCATACAGTATATAACCTTTTGAGTTTTTTCCTCTCAGAAAAATTCCCTGGTGATTCATGTATCAGTATTTTGTTCTTTTTTATTGCTCCATAGTATTTCATATTATGTATACCACAGTTGGTTTGAACATTGACCTATTGAAGAACAGAGGGGCTGATTTCAGTTTTTCATTTTTGCAAATAAGCTGCTTATAGAATTTGTATGTGAACGTGATTTTCATTTCTCTGGGATAAATGCCCATGTGTTTAATTTCTGGATCATATGGTAATTGCATGTTTAGTTTAATAGAAAATTCCAAATTGCTTTTTACAGTGGTTATACCATTTTACATTCCTATGAGCAAGTCACAAGTAATCCACTTTTAGGGCATCCTTGCCAGTATTTGTTGCCGTCACTATTCTTAAATTTTAGCCATTTTAAGAGATATGGAATCTTTTCATAGTTTTAATTTGCATTGCCCTAACGCCTGATGCTGTTGAACAGATTCTCATGTGCTTCTTTGCTAAGTCAGTATCCTCTCTGGTGAAATGCCTGTTACTACCTTTTGACTGTTTTCCTAATTGCATTGTTTTTTATTATTGAGCTCTGCAATTTCTTTGTATATTTTGGACACATATCTTTTAATAGATATGTGGCTTGAAAATATTTTCTCCCAGTCTATAGCTTTAATTTTCATGTTTTTTTTTTTCCATTTTTTGGGCCGGGGCTGGGTTTGAACCCACCACCTCCGGCATATGGGTCTGGTGCCTTACTCTTTGAGCCACAGGAGCTGCCCACTCTTCATGCTTTTAACAGGTATTTTGTAGAGTAAAAGTCTTTTTTTTTTAATTTTCAACAATGTCCAATTTATCAGTTGTCCTTTAATAGATCATAATTTCAGTGTCATATCTAAGACTGTTTGCCCAACCCTTAGGTCAGAATATTTCTCTATTTTTTTCACTTTTAAGTTTTACATTTAAATATATGATACATTTTGAGTTATTTTTTTATATGACTGTGCAGTTTACATTGAGGTTCATTAATTTGTCTATAGATGTCTAATTGCTCAGACAACATTTGTTGAAAAAGGTAACTTCCTCCATTGAATTGATTGTGTACCCTTGTAAAAAAAAATGAATTGAGCATATTTACATTGGTGTATTTTTCAGTTATGTATTTTTTCTACTGATTTGTGTGTTAATACCTCTGCTGACATCATGTTACCTTAATTACCTTTGCTATAGAGTAATTTTTAATATTAAAAGTTAAACCTATAGATTTAATATAGAGTTTTATAGAGTTAAACCTATAGATTAATTTAAGGAAAATTAACATCTTTGCTACAGTAAGTCTCCCAATATTTAAACATGGTATGTCTTTTTACTTACTTAGGTCCTATTTGATTTTTTAAATTGTCATTTTGTAATTTTCAGCATAAAGATCCTGCACATGTGTTGTTATGTATATAGCTGTTTAATTTTCTTTGGACTGATTGCAAATGATAATATGTTTTTACCTTTGGTTTCTGTGTGTTCCTTGTTAGCATATGAAGATGTGATTGAGTTTTTTCCTTTATATGGTATCCTCTGATGCTGAACTCCATTTTTAGTAGTTTTTTGTATGTTTTATTTTTTAGATTTCTTGTTACCTTAAATGCAGAGAATCAGGTAATCTGGAGACAGAGATAGTTCGCCCCACTCAAAGTGTATGCCTTTTACATCTTTGTCTTGCTTTATCTCCACATCTATAACTTTCAGTACTATCTTGAGTAAGAGTAGAACAACAGAATTAGTTTCCTTGTTCCCACTGTTAAGGGAAACCATTAAGTCTTTTGCCATTAAGCATGGCTTTAGCTGTCAGTATTTTTAAATGGGCTTTATTACACAGATGTAATTTTGTCAAATGCTTTCTCTGCTTCAGTTCTTATGATCATGCATTTTTTATCCCTCTTGGTGTATTATTGTTTTTGTACACTCTGGGTTTTGGTTTGCTAATGTTTAATTATTAGAGATTGTCAAGTCCCAGTTTATGGGAGATATTGCTTTATATTTTTGTTTCATTTTTTGTTTGTTTTGCATTGTCTCTATCAGGTTTTGCCATCAAGATAGTACTGGCCTCATAACATGAATTTGGAAATGTTCCCTTCTATGCTCTGTAAGAGCTATTTAATAATTTTTTAAATGGTAGAAATTTTTAGTGAAATTGTCTGGTCTGGAGATTTCTCTTTCAGGATGCTTTAACTTATGAGTTAAGTATTTAGATGCTTATAAGGCTGTTCATACTGCCTATATCATTGCCTTGGTTGAGTTAAGTATTGTAGTTTGTGGTTTTCAAGGAATTCTTCCAATTTTGAGTTGTCAAATGTGTGAGTGTGGGGTAGTTAGAATTTTTTTTATTACTTTTAAATGACTGTAACATCTGTAATGATATCCCTTTGTTTATTCCGGATGTCAGCCATTCGTGTATTTTGTCCCCCCCCCCTTTTTTTGAGTATTGCTAGTGATTTATCAACTTGAATTTTTCAAAAAATTAATTCTTTGTCATTGACTTTCCTGTCATTTCTTAAATTTCATTGATTGCTGCTCTCTGTTATGTCTTGCAAAGGGTAAACAGGTGGCAAGGAAGTAGCTAAGGGAGGAGACCAGTAACCCAGTTGAAGCTAGGAACCAAATTGCTAGGAACTGTTCGCAGTGGGAATATTCATAGTAAGGCATTCCCAGTGACTGTTAACTGATCTAGGATGCATTACTATCTAATTAGCATAGCATGGGTGGAGCTTTCCTGCAAGATTTTTGGGAAAGATACATGTATAGAAAGGGAAACTGTTGTATAACCAACCTGTTATCTAAACTGTTATATCAACAGTCCCCAACCTTTTTGACACCAGGCATGAGTTTCATGGAAGACATTTTTCCATTCCAAGGTCTAGGGGTAGGGGGATGAGATAGGAGGTAGAGCTCAGGTGCCGATGGGAATGATAGAGAGTGGTTGTAAATAACAGATGAAGCTCCACTCATTCCCTGGCTGCTCACCTCTTGCTGTGTGGCCTGGTTCCTAACAGGCCAGGGCTGAACCATTTTGGCACAAGGGACTGGTTTATGGAAGATAATTTTTCAATGCACTGGGATCTGGGAATGGCTCAGGAGGCTGAGCTCAGAGATACTGTACAGTCACTGGCTTAGGGGTTGAGGGACCACAGTGTTACATAACCCCCAACCTGTCAGTCACCCCAAAGGAGGGATATGGCAACCAGTCTTGCCAGGAGAAAGATGGGAAAAACTGGTAAGCATATAAAATACAGCATGTGCTCAGACTTTGGGGTCTTTCTCTATTCCTGGAGTCTGACCCATTCTGCTCTCTCTGAAACATATTTTTTCACTTCATGTCACTTTGTGTAGCTTCCTCCTCAACTTTGACTTCATACAGCTTCTTTCTTCTACCTATAATAAACTGTGTGGGACTGCTCTGTACCTGTGATCACTCCATCATTGGCTCAACTAGGTACCAGTACTCACTCTTGACACTGGGAACCAGGAGACCAGGGAACATCCAGATAGACCTAACACTCTATTATTTCTTTCCTTCTGCTTGCTTTGGGTTGATGTTGCTCTTTTTTTGTAGTCAAATTTTGAGGTTGGAAATTAGGTCATTGATTTGAAATGTGTCTTCATTTCTAATGTAAGCACATAGTATTATATATGACCCTTAACACTGCTTTAGCATTTATATGTGTTGTATTTTTGTATTCATCCAGTTTTATGTATTTTTACAACTGTCTTTGAGACTTCCTCTTTGACTCATAGAAGTGTGTTAATTAATTTTCATGTGTTTTGAGAATTTCTTAGTGTCTTTCTCTTCTTGATCTACAGTTTGATTTTACTATGGTCAAAACATTGTCTGTAATTTCAAAATTTTAAATTTATTCTCTTTTGTGGATCAGAATATGGTGTATCTTCGTGTATGTTTCATCAATACTTGAAATAAATGTCTAAAATGTCTACTTTTCTTTAGTTGGGCAGATTTTTTGTATATCTGTCAATTAAATCTTATTAGTTTATGTTTTTCATGTTTTATATATCATTATTTGGGGGCTATTTTAGAGGGAAATATTATCACCATTATTGTGGGTTCTTTTACTCTTTCAAGCTTTATTAGTTTTTGTTTAGTGTATTTTGAGGCTTTATTGTTTATTGTGTACACATTTAGGATCATCATTGTATCTTTCTGGTAGATAGATCATTTTATTATATATAATGTCCCTCTTTGCTCATGGTAATTTTCTAGCACTGAAGTTTACTTTATCAGATATTAATATAGCTCTTTGTGCATTTTTCTAATTAAAATTTGTGTGTTATGTTTTTCTATGTCCTTTGGCTTTCAACTTACTATGTTTCTTGAATTTGAGTTTCTTCTAAACAATTGGTTCATATTTCCCCCATACTACCAATGTCTGTCTTTTGATTTTTTCTATTTAGACTATTTATCTTTTATGTTTATATGCGATAACTTGTCTTCTTTTTTATTGTTTGGTTTCTCTTTGTTCTTGTTCTTTCTCATACCTATTTCTTATTTTTGCATTCTTATAGGTTAATTGAAGGTGGTTTTAGAATTCCATCTGATTTATAGTGTTTAGTATTCATCTCTTTGCATAGTTTTTGTAGTGGTATCTCTGTATATAACAATATACATATGTTATATAATGTGCTACTGGTATAGACACTTACCGTTTTGGCTGAAATGTAAATACTTCATTTCAATTCAGGTCTTTTTCCTTTCCCTACTTGCAAAGATCATTGAGTAGCAAATGGTGCTATACTTTGTTTCCAACTTCAGATAATGATTTATAAAACTGATGAGGAAAATATAGCCTATTGTATGTAGCCAGACTTCTGCTAATTCCTTTAGTCCTTTTTTACTCTGATGCTCCAAGATTTTATCTTTTGTCATTTTGTGTGTGTGTGTGTGTGTGTGTTTGAAGAATTTCCTTTAGATTATCTTTAAAGGTGGGTCTGCTAGTGACAGATTATTTTAGGGCTTTTTGTTTTGTGTTTTTATTTTCCTTTCATTGTTAAAGCGTAGTTTTAACAAATACAGTGGTTTCAGTTGGTAGCTTTTTTTGTTCAGTACTTGGAAAATATTGTGGTACTTCCTTCTGGACTCCAGGGTTTCAGATGAGATACATGCTTTATTTAATTTTATGTTTCTCTGTATGGAATGTATCTTTTCTTTCTGCCTTATTTCATGACTTTTGTATCCTTACCCTTTCAAAAGTTTGCGTCTGTTTATGTGAAGAATGCCCTTAAATCCTTGAGATGAAACCTACTTGAGCATGGTAATTAATTTTTGATGTGCTGTTGAATTAGATTTGCTAGTACTATGTGTTTTGTTGAGGATTTTTACATCTATCTATATTCATAAGGGATATTGGTCCATAATTTTTTTCTTATGTCTTGTCCTGTCTTTGTTATCAAGATGCTACTGGCTTTGTAGAATGAGTTAAGGAGGATTCCCTCCATCTGTCAAATAATTTCTGTAGTATAGGTACCAGTTCTTTATATATCTGGAAAAATTTGGCTATGAGTCTGTGTTGTCTGGTCAATGTAATCACATATAGAAAGCCCTTTTTTTCCCCTTTTCCTGCCACATAATCATAGTATCTTTTTGAGAAGAACATTAGTAGTGCTTAGAAGATGTACCATGTCTGGGATAGTCCTGGCAGATCCCTGGAATGTGTGTACCTATTCGATAATATACACTCATATATAAACATGCATACCAAAAAGAACACCAAGATCACCACTGCATAGGGATGTATTTGTGAATGTTTTGTTCAGGTATACTAATTTATATATTTATATGTGTGTGTGTATAGATGTATGTATGCATGTGCTTACATTTGGCAGGTTGTGTTATATGTGGAGTAAATGATCTAATGCGTTTTTTCTGGCACAAAAACTGAGGACTCAATAAAGACAAGTTTTGCTGTATTCTTTATTAGTGCTGTTGATAGCATGGTTAGGTTTGTAAGAATAATGTACTTGAAGCCTAACAAAATGAATTCTAATATAGGCTCACCAACATTACATCCAAATAACTTCTTAGGTAAGTCATTTAATCTTTTTGAGTCTTGGATTTTCATTTGTTATATAGGAGTGATAATAATATTTTCTTAAATATCAGGAATTTTCAAGTGCCAAACAAGATAATATACTTAAAGATACATTGTATATGATAAATTACTATCCAAGTAGAAAATATCTGTATCCTTATGAGATGTGTATGTAGGATGATAATAGATTTTAAAAAGTATTTATGAAAACACATACTCCATGTATGCTACAATGAACCTTTTAAATTAGAGACACATGAAAAATCAATTGTATTATTTTGTACATAGATTTTGTTTTAAATCCTAGGGGATATGTTGTAACATCACTTCCTCCTTTTATTTTACATATTTGGCATCATGAAAATTGGTTTGAGAGGGTATACCATGCACTTAGATTAGTAAAGTCCGATTTCTTTGTTAAAAATGTGTCTCATTATCTTGTCTTTGTTTTATTTCATAATTCCTTTTATTGACAAGTATTTCATCAGTGAAACTATAAGAAAACAAGTTTCTTTTAAAGAGTTAGAAGTATTTATATATGTTTCCCTATAGATTTAGTTATAAGGTTGTTAAGATTGTTGAATTAACTATGTGGCTTTCTTTTCTTCAACCTTAGGCTGATTCCAGTATGTAAATTGGACATTGACTCTGAAGTTAATTTTGGTACCCTGGTTGCCAACAGTAAAGTATATTGTAAAGAGATTACTATCGTTAACCATGGCAAAGCTCCGGGTAAATATGACATATAAATTGACTTATACTTTTAGAAGAATTGGTGCTATTTGACCTGAATACTTGTATAATTAATAGATTCTCTGATTTGTTCAGAAAAAAGGTCTATCATTTGAAACACCTCAAGATAAAAACTCTAAGTAGCATGATAAGAGACTGATAGGGCAATAATTCAGGAAAAATCAATGTACCTCTTTATTATCCTGATTAATATAGACTTGCTCTCAGATGACTGGTGATCTCCCTCAGGATAAGAGGCAAGCTGGTGTCATAGAAGTGACTTAGTTTTTAGAGTCATCCAGAGAAAGAATTAGGGCACAGTGACTTACTAGCTTTGTGATCTGGGGCAAGTGTCCTTAAGGATCTTGAACTTGAGAGCCCTCATAAAGTGAGGCTAGTAAAATGTACTATGGTTAATTATGTGGTACAGTGACTGGCTAATTATAGGCCTTCAATAAATATTAGCCCTGCTTCTCTATCATATTCAATTTGAATTTACATCATGGTCCCTAGAAGGCTTTTATTAAGTTTTTTAAAGAATAAATGCTTTTCTTCTGTGCAGACTGAATCTTTCCTGGGGATTTTTACTGTGACTTAAGAATTTCCATAAATATGTGTATATGTGTGTGTGTGTGTGTTCATATATGCTTTTCATTGATAGCATCCAAGAAGCATAAAATCGCTTATACCTTCAGTCTCTTGATTATACAGTGTGGCCATAAAGTTTGTATGCGATTTAAAATACTGTGCAATTTAAAATTGTGTGCACACAACCTTTATGGCCACCCAGTATAGTCAGCATGTGGGGTTGCAAGATTGTGATTTCTCCCAATCTAAAATTAGGACTGGCTGTGGTCAGGGAGGGTATTTCTGAGACTGCTGTTGAATACATAAAATAGTTCTTAAATTCAGTCCTCCCTTCCACTAACTGAGAATATTCTCTGAGTACTGAAAATTATTAGAACAAAGGCAGTTTGTCACTTAATTTCTTCATAAGGGAATAAAACTGATACCTGTTCCTCTTTGAATTTTGCTCACTTCACTTTGATTTTTAAGTCAGTGAATGTCAATACATGTGGGATTATAGAACATTACTCCCATTTGTGATCTGACTCCAATGTTAAAGGATGGAATGTCTTATGGAAGGTGATTATGGGCTATATGATTATATTGTAGAGCAGAAATTGAGAGATATTTATTTGTATTGTCTTATTTTCCAAAATTTCTTTCAACTGTTGTCTATTCAAAATCCTTCAAAGTCTTGATGACATGAGTATGTCCTTTTTATCCTAAAATTTTACCTAATCGTACAGTTTTACTTCATGTTAAAGCTCTCTAACAAGTAAAAAAGAAATATAAGCTTATTAATTTTAACTTAGCACTATTAATTTAATTAATAATTGTATTAATTTAATATTATTTCACTCAATAAAATAGAATAAATAAAATTAAACTGAAGACCTAGCTCTGCATATTTAAAAAAAATAGTCCACATTGGCTATTAGTATTGTGTTAATATTTTATGTATACATGGTATTTATACTAAGTTAGATTTATTATAATTGAATACTGTGAAATGTTAATTATTATGACCTCAAAAAATGAAACAAATTTTTATCAATGAATCACTTTTTCTTAGTGTTGACTTTATAATTTTTAGAGTTGAATCATACTAGCTTTTCCAAAATAACCACAATAGATAGTATGTATTATATTCATAGTAGCAAGTACCTGTAATGAATCATAAAGTCCTTTTTATCTATGAGCATAATATATAAATGTTCATGATAATAACAATGCATATTCGTGAATAATAGCATGCAGAAAAGAGGCTCAGTAACAAGAGATGACTCTAATAATTAATTTTTGAAAAGCATTTTATGTGATAAATTTTTTAGAATTTTAGAGACAAAGTTTAAATGCTTACAATTTTATCTGTATAATTAATAGGACATGAGAAAATCCACACTTGCCAGATTTATAATTTGCACAGGTTTGTTTTCTCTTTCTGATGGTGTCATTGGTGTTATCTTTGATTTTATATACTCCAAAATTTATCTATGTAACAATTACTGATTAGTTTATTTTAATAGCTTCTTATGGAATAAACATCCTTGCATTTAACCAAATATTGTTGAATACATCTTCTTTTCTCATCCTTTATAAAATCATTTTTAAGTTTACTCCTGACTATGGAAAATAATTTTTGTCCTTTCGTTCTGGAAAGATGTCGTTCAATCTTTAAGATGTATCTAATATTACAATAGTACTTTGTGAGTTATTGAACTCCATGTTGAATTCCATGATTTTATGGTATAATAATAATACCTGTATTGTCTCTTAACTTTCATATTTGAATATTCAAAAGAAACATTAATTTACTATGCCCAAATTGCTATCATTTCTTTCTTTGTCTAAGCGTCCTTGATTATTTGAGTAGACCTTTTTGACCACAGTGTTATAATATACAACAATCTCTAAAATCCCTAATTGTAGGTGTGATCCTTACACTCCATTTCTGCATTTGAATAGCACTCTCAGAACTCCTCAACCTTTAGGTTTATTTGGACTACTTTATCTTAGATAAGACCTTTCACTTTTTTTTTTCTTATTAAATCCTAGCTTTGTACATTAATACTGTCATGGGGTACAGTGTGCTATTTTTATATACAATTTGAAATATTTTCATCAAACTGGTTAACATAGCCTTCATGTCATTTTCTTAGTTATTGTGTTAAGACATTTATATTCT